TTCTATGATTTTGACCAATTTATTGATTTTCAATTTTTACAGGTTTTCTATTTCACATAATACATATAAATACACAGCTTATTTTTAAATTCATTCAACGTCCGTTTTTAAACATGATGCGCCTTTCCGAATTATTCAAGCAATGAAAATTCATCCATGCCGTTATTCTCATCAGTTCAGTATGTGTTTTATTATTGAGCGGAACAATTCTGGTTGTCCATTTGCTGACGAACTCATCGAACAGTATGTTTATTTATTTGTTGAATTCATTTATGTATTTCAGTTTGTGCATCATTTGAAACCATTATGAAATTAGAAATGTGTTCACAATTTTTTATTTCATCATGTTTATACACACTTTACTGTCATAGGTGTCTAAAAACTATCCAGCATTATTTCTATATGCATGTCATGTGTTATTCTCTCAAAAATCATGAGAGAATTCAGTTTTTAGATAAGAAATTTGCATTGCAGACAACTAAATTTGCGATGACTTCGAGAAACATCGACCTTATTATCTACATATTGATCCGCGAAATCTAGCGGACGATTTAATGCTCGAAATGATTGTGCCATATACATGTTTTGTATGTTGATTTCATTTTGACGTGTGTGTGATCTTGTAAAATATCTGTGATGTTAATTTGATCCAGGCCTCTTTTCATCTCAAACTATATTTTACACTTATGCTAATAATACGATTCTCATTTAAGACGTTTGTTCATTATTTGATAAGCAACATGAAAGGTTAATTGTATATTTATAGATGCAGACTTGTTTCGACTGATTGATCGTGGAAAATATCAATGTTGACCAAAATGTTTGAGTATTATTGAGTGACACTGAGATTAGTAGTTTATTCAAGTCTTACAATAGTTGTGGTCGAATTACCACTGTGATGTCCTGTGACAAAGTTCGCTTAATGGAAAACCAGTTGAAGAAGGTGGATTTAGATGCATTGATGACATGGTTTTATAAAAGGTGGTCATTTATTTATGCAGGTTAACAAAAAGTATTTATTTTACTTAATAACGTACAAAACTGAGTTGTAAATACATAGTTACAGTAAGAAATTATCAAGACGAATTCCATTAAAACCAATACAATGACCAAATGTTTGAGTTAACAAAAATCCAGAGATACAAATTTCATCATGAATAAATTTTCATCCATCCGAATGATGAATACAGTTTCGATTCTGTGATATTCTCACAAACATAAGTACACTGTTCAGATAATTGGTGTTCGAGTCGTAAAGTGTGAATGTTGTTGCTATCACATTTGATTTGCATCAACATCAAATTTGACATTCTTTTGTAATCTTGCTTATCAATTTATGTATTTTACCTGTTAATCTCCGTAAACATTAGAACGGTTTCATTGTACAAATCAATGCTTCTGTTTGTTCTAGTGGCATTTCCTAACTTTACTACCTTGAATGAATCAGGCAAATAAATCTTTACAGTTGCAGTAAGAGATTTATGTGCTGATACTGAGAAACTGTACAGCGAATTTACAAATAAAACATGAAGTTGTTCCACAAAAGAGGTGCTGAAACGTAGCTAAACTGAATGCGTTTACTACGTATTTGACGAAGATCGAACAGCAATCTGAACGATCAGCATATACTGAGTGGAATGTTTTTCATAAGAAAAGATTCCAGGCACTCACTTTTAGCTTTACAGCATTTCATTAGAATTCTTTAACAAATAAATGGTAACTTGTTCTTTTGCATTACTCCAGGATCACTTGACGCATTAGTAATTAGTAGTAAATGAAATATGGTGCGTTGAAACAGCGTGATTGTACTTTGTTATTGTTTTTCAAAACTAGTGAATTACCTTTCATGCATTGTTTGTTTTGATGTGATCTAATTTCTGATCTTCGTAACAGATAACAATTTTTAAAGTAATTTTTTAAAAGGCTAATTAATTTAAAATAAATTTATCTTCACGGAGAGAAGTAGTTATCAGGTTATGAACAGTTCATTATGTATTCATCATCATTACGCTAACATTTCCGATGCATAAACATATGTCGATCTATTTATTACCTTTGCAGTAGAGATTTAAATTATGTTCATGCTTTCCGTAATGCAGCCTGTTGATTTACGGAACGTCCCATCTACATGCAGTGTGTTTTCCACATTCTCTCCACAAATGACAGGCGAAATGTTCTTCAACATAGTATATCGTTTCCAGTTGTCTCTGACTAATGTATGCAGACTAACTTGTGTTTGCAGATTCTTTTATGAGTGTTTGTAACTTTACGAAGATAGTTATAATCGTTCTCCTAGTCTAATCTCTGTACAATCAAGCAGTAGTAGCGTAAGTGTTAACAGTTACTACTTAGTAGTTATTGAATGATCAATCTCTTGAGGTTCAAACTCTTTTCACTTGTGGGAGATTCTCCGTTACATCAATAACCTATGCCACCACATCCAATTCAGTCTCTCCTTGTTCACAGGTGGTGCTGAGCATATAGTTGGTGCTTTCCAACTTCTTCCCTGCCTCATCTTCTTGATTGGATTGGTTGATGCTGTCTGCGTTTCATTTCGTTGTCTCACTTCTTTTATTTAATGATGAAAAGAACAATGCAACACTTGTTGACTGCACCAACACTTATTGTTGTGTATCCGGTAGAATAGGGTTGGTCAACTGCAATAGTGTGAATCAACAAACTGTTATTTGCGCATTTGCAGATACCAGTAAGCGGGAAGTAAACGATTGGAGAAGCTGGTCTTATCTTGAACAAAGCTTTATTTGAAATGCATTTATGAGCTGCTTTCCACGACCGCTTAGTGTGAGCGTAATTCTTTCAGCATTTATGACTAGTGGATAAGTAGCAGTAGATGCCAACCGTTGAATAATCAAGATTCTATTCAGAGTTATAAAGCAAAACTATTCCTGGAGTATGTAAGACCTTTGATAGAATCAAAGTTTGTGCTGAACCTTTTTTTCTTTACCAACAATCGGATGATGAATCAGAAGGAAGCAAGAAGAAACAAATTTTCGAATATTTACAAAATGTCGAGGCGCATCAGATTAGCGAAACAATGCTAGATGGTGTTTTCCAATTGTACACGAAAATTAAAAACGTAAGTCAGATGTAGTACATTATTTGACAGTGATTCACAATTATGTCACAATACAAACAGATTATGATGGTTAATATAAGACATAACAGAAACGCTCATTGTTGTGCAGCTGAGTATCACCGAATACCATAACCAGTTGTTCAGATAATAATAATAATATAGTAAACATGCGATGTAACTATTTACTGCATTCCATTTGAGAGAACAAATACATGAACAGGTTTTGTTCAAATTGACGGTGACAAACGAACTTTTTGCTTCCTGAGTGTGAAACTTTGAATTACTTGATGAAGAGAAAATTAACCACGAGAATATTTCGTCTTCATTCAAATGATGTTTAAATCCATATGTTTGTGCCTAATCAATAGTAGTCATGACGGAAAACACAATTTAGTCAATGAAGTCTGTGTTATGTCACAAGATCATACGATGCAGAATGCGAAATGATATGAATAGATGAGTGTGAGTATTGTCAGCTGGTTGAATGATCGGTTTACACTAATAGGCATTTAACATCGATTTAGATCTTGTATCGAAATCCTGGAAGCCTCGAAACGACAATCCTTTATTTGTTGTCTATGTATCGTTGTTGTTCAGACAACATCGTATCATCATGAGGCTAGTAGAAATATCTCACTCAACGATTTGCAAATCATCTGTCCGATAGTAAGTTGTCACTTGTTCAAATTTCAATGTATTATGCTTACTCAGCATACTTTGTTATATTTTGTTTAGAATACTAAGAATAATTCAGTTTTCTTTCCAATGGTTACAAAGTTGTTTGGTAGAGCTGCATGATTCCACAATGAGTCAGCCTCATCTCTGTAACCTTTACAAACATCCTGAAACTAGTTAATTCACTACGTATACGGTCTAATTCTAAACAGATGAAACTGATCAACATCCTTGAGCTTGTCTATAATTAGAACGATTAAAACTCTGTCACGTCGTTTGTGTTGTTAGTGTTTGTGCATTCCGTGAAAATTAAAGATGATCTAAAGATAGAAAGATATCTTCTTACTTCAAGAAGTCAACAACTAAACAACATAATATTTAATTACGGAAACTGATGATAAAAGCTCGCGAAATCATTTCAAGCGATGATTCGGTCGATGCATCTTCGTACAATTCATAGTATTACCGGACAAGTGTAGTCCTCTCAACCTGCTAATAAATAAATGCATTCAGCTGTAAATCATTGAAAGGTATCGATGGATTCTTTTCTAAGCTTCCACATATTTTGGCCATAACTTATCTAACAAACTTGAAGAACCTCGTTCGACGTAGAATACTATCCGCATCATTGACATCATTAGTCCAACATTTTATGTAATTTGAATGCTTGAGTAAAGTGAGACAATATTACTGGAAACAATTAATTCTTATCACAAACAGATTTCACTTCTAATTTTTATCTCATTGAGGATTGGCTGTTCATGGTGATGTTACATACGGAACTGTAGTGTATGTATGTGAAGTCAGAGCAAGTTAGAAGAATGAGTTATAGAAGCTTTTGAAATCTGAGAAGATTTGATAGCGAGAAAGTGAAAATATATAATGCGACACTGGATACTTCACATTCATAAAAAATGTTAAAATAAAGCAGACACAATATGTGAATGACCACTATTTTATTACTATATAATAAAACAAACTAATAGTCAATATACGTTGGTCATTGAGACAACTGCACCAAGTTTCACTGTATTAAATGCATAGAATCAAATCAATCGTGAGAATTGCTTGGTATTTTATTTATTGAACAATGGAATGTTTACTCGAATTCGAGTTGATACACTGAGCGTTCTCATTAAGGAAGCTTCAATTCTACATAGGTTCCCGTGAAGCATAATTATGAAACAGGAAAAAGAGGTGTTTTTGTGATTAAGAATTCCTATATGGGTGAGTTATTCAAGAAAAGTTGATTGATGGTTGACATACATGGAAAATTCGATCTGAGATATGATGTACTTTGTACTCTATGTAAAAATGTGCTTCAAATTGTTCACTTTGATCAGGTCAACTGGAGGAATATTCTGGATTCTGAACTCTATCATATGCGATATGAGGCAACAAGCGATGTAAGCAATGTTGTCGAAGATCAAGATTCCTTGCGTTATGCTTGTGGACAGTTTATGGAAGCTATGAAAGAATATCGGGGGAGAAAGTAATTCTTCAAAATTTAGTTTTATGCTTTCAGAAGTGAGTTATTTAATTAGATCTCATGTTGGTATATTTACGGCTCCAGTTTTCATAACAGAAATTTAGACTTCTGCACCACTCAAGATTTGCGCGCAACACTGATGATCCTTGATTCGAATGCTGTGAGTGGCGAGAGTCATAGACTCGCAGTGCCGATGAATCCTGCACCAATCGAAACAGTCATCAAATACTTTCAGATTTCTAATGGTGGTCTAATGATGATTGATTAACGACTTCAACGCGTAAAAGCATTGATCTTCATGACTGTATTTGATAAAATTATTAGTTTGCAAACTCTGATCATGTGAGAAGTGAATGCTGGAAACAATTTGGATTGTGATTGAAAAACATACTGCAGTATTTATTTTATTGTATATTCATTTTCAAGCTGAAACGATAGATATGCATTTTTAGAATAAACAGCATCCCAAACTATACACGACCACTATTGTTCATTTTAAATGTGTGTATTGATCAAACACTTGATCAATCTAATCACTCCCGTGAGAATGTGCACAATATGCTAGTGATCAGTTTTTCGTACAACATGAGAAACACTTTGAATAAATATTTCGCACAGTTTTATCTCGCTGATCATCGTAAGTACCAATGTTCAATAATTTCATTCGATTTATGAAACAAAAGGATGATGACAGGTTAAGCTTCAGAGTTTTACCATTCTCACATACACTTGAATGCACTGGTTTCAATTCAATTTTGTGTTGACTAATGGCAAACAATGGAAGCGGATTCATTTTACGACTTTTCTATCTCAAAGATTTATGTGAAATATTCAAATTACTATTGATGATTTATTTCAATTAGGCAGTCCCTTTGATCGGTTTCTCTGATTATGTTGAATAGGTTGAAGAAATGATTAGCGAACTGAAGAAAACATTGAAACAATCATTGTCATCAAAGTCATGGCCTAGTAAAGAAGACAAAAGTAGAGCCCTTGAATCGGTTTGTCGAATTTCGATGAATTATTTAGACAATAATTTGATGCATTATTTAGGTTGAGAACATTCGATTTTCGTCGGATAACCGAAATAAGTTTTATGGGGATGCCGAACGTGGGCGAGGAATATTATATCCAGTAAGTTCTTCATGTTCATCACTAATAATTATTCGGAGTCACCAAATATTGTGAATTGGGTTAATATAACGCAATTGGCCAAGTTAAATCCCTCAACACGTCAGATATCAGAAAGTCAGTTGCGATCGCAGGTCAGATATATTTCCTGGAAATCTTGTGGTATCGAAAAATTACGAAGATTGAGCCGAAGTGTACAGACAAGACGATTGAGCGTATCTGAGCAAACTGAAGTCTACAATGAACGGAAGATGTGTGTTTTTAATACAATTAAATAAATAGTCACAGTGAAAAAATCACTGATACAGAGATGCTCAACGATGTATAAACACATTTATTGAGATGATGGAATCACAAAACAATGGTCAAATTGATGTCACATAACAGCGCACATGACTTACTTGTTTGAAATAATTCATTGATTTTCACGTCCTAAACATCAACCTTTATTTATCTGACAAGACAAGAACAATGTGAACAGGATAGAAACACAGGTCAACAAGTTTCATTCCATCCATTCAACACGTCATCGTGAGAATCTTGAAAACCACCAAACTGTGTGTGTATACTTTGTTTATATCTAGGATATTATTTCTCCCTAAAGTATATATGTATAAGCACTTATTTTATTTTGGCACGGCACAAGTGTCTGTCATTTAGAAGACAGTCAATGACGAAATTATATTTCAAGAAGCGAATATCTTTATCTCTCCATTAATTCAATAACGGTCAGTGATGTTTGCATAAAGTGCACCGTGATGCCAATCACTGAAATGAATAATAGTAGGGCACAACATCGCTTATTATCTAGAAATCAAAGAATGTTGATGATCGTGTGCATTTATTTGATCAGTGATGATGATTAGTTTGATATCATTATCCTGAATGAACCTCAGTGTTCCGTGTTGCAAATGTTCCCTGTTTGTCAACCTTAGGTAAAGTGATTTCTGTGAAACAGGTTTCAAACCGTATATTGCGATATGTGTAACATAGTGGTCAGTGAGGGACTCAGATTAACACCTGCATACATTTTCCTTTCATTGATTGTTTAGGACTGGATTAGTCACCGATTTTGCCACGTCAATCAATGTTTGTTTTCTATTTATCAATACTTGAACATGATTTTTTTCAGCATTGAACAAGATTTTCCTGGAATTTTGAAATACTCCGGAATTGAATTGTCTCCTGACTTGTTACATCCATCATTTCTGAGTGTATGGCGTTGAAAACCTGACAAATATGGAATTCTCGGTTGGCTTATTGGTCGCCAGCTAATATTCGAAGGTAACATTTACAGTGTTTCATCTTGCCTAAACTTATTATAATCAAAGCTGAGTATTTTGTTAAGTATTAATTACAAACAGTGGAGATTCGCTTATCTGATTTTCGTTAGGATATGACTAACTAAATCGTGTTAATTGCGTGCATGTGAGCTGTATCTGTTAAGTAGGCGAATCTTTCTTAACTGAAACATATGATTTACCCAAGGTACTAATCAGAAAACAAATTAAAACGGGTGCGAATTTGTCATTCTTGTGTTACACGCTAAATATGAACTTTGGTTGGTCAATCAAATTTAAGGCAAAATGAAATGTACATATTTCTCATCACAACGGATCAATTGAAACCGATTTACTGTTGATCACTGTGTGAGTTAAAAATCGTTATTCTAAATAAATTTTTCGAATGGAATTCAAATTTAACTGATATTATTTCGTATATTATTATAATAGTCTAACTAACACAGCTTTGAAAAAGGGATATTGTAATGCTTAAATGACGTTTGCATCACAGTCTTTAGGGATGGCCAGCTGGATGAACAGGAAGATTTTCAGTAAACT